ACTGCCTGGCACGCCACGGGGGTCCTTCTTGACATGGAAACCCCGTAGCATACTAAATGGAACATGGCCGGTTCGGATCGTGTTGGCACGACGATTCACACCATTCCCCGTATAGGCAAACACTCAAAGTGTTTGAGGTAGAACATAGAAGGGGGAAAGGGGAAATATTTTGACGAAGTTAAGACATTTTTTTGTGGGAACCACATTTATATGGAGTTTCAATTTGAAGGAATTTTCAAACCCGAGGACAAAGGGAAAATTATGAAACAGACAGTGAATAGGATGTCGTAAATGCTTGTGGTTTACATTTTTTGAATTATAGTTTCAGAAGAAGTTAGTCGGGGGTGCAGTCAAAATATAAACTACTATATTATATAGTAGCATATTTTTTCTATTGTGGTTTCGACCTATGTTGTAAATCTTCTTCAGGGCATTTCGTCTGGGACTGCAGGAAGTAGTACGGTGACTGATTAAGTTTTTCTAATTATACTTTCGCTTGTACTATGTTCAAGAAGATTAATAGAACTTCTTGGGAGGAGAAGCCTGTGCCATGGACTTAAGAGAGGATGTCTACTTCTGATTTATCTTATAAAACTGCTCAGTTCTTACCACCTGTATGAAATTCTAGGTATTCAGAAAAGGGAGTACTCTACTATTCTAAATTTTCTACATATCACTTATTGCATCTTGAAAGGGACAAGCTTTGTTTAGAGTTCCCTTGACTGATTTCAAATACTTAAAAAACAAGCTTAAAAACAGATATACCTACTATATATAATCTGTTTTTAAGCTTGTTTTTTCACTAAACCATTGAATTCCCTCACCTATGAAATCCATGCAATCCAAAATCCTTCATGATCCTTACTTTGTTTCAAATAAAATCATCCATAATGACCTTAATGTCCCTTATGCATCATATTTGGCCCAATCCAGATACCTAGCATTCCATAATAAACTTCAGATCTGTCCCAACCCTCTCGTTTATAACCTTCCTTTTCATTTTGTAATAACGCTCCGAGGCGTCTGGAAAGAAGATGCCCCGTGATCTCCGCATGTAGACATATTATTTTATTACAATTTTAAATATAAATATAAAAATGGTTTTTGTTTACAGTACTTATTCCTAACTTTATTTTAATGTTATTCATTGTATATGTTTTCTATTATATTATTATTTTGTTTTTATTTAATTTACATTTCAATAAATATGGTATGAATTTATGTTTTCTCATTTTAACTATTATAGTTTATTGTAAAAGAATGTTATACTACACAATAACAAAAGTTTCAATGCGAAAATTGCATCTTAAACTTAAATTTTGAGGATGATATAATTAGTAGTTTTGAACTTCTTTAAGAACCCTTAAACGAACCGTTTACTAATTATCATTAATTACTATCATGTAATTAAGTAATTATCTAAACCATAATAGTGGCGAGTATATTTATTAATAATGACTTCTATGCAACATTCGCAGTTACTCATTTAAAAGATGTTTACTTAATTGTGTCAATACGGAGGATTCTCATCATTTGAAATAATTTTGTACTTACAAGTTTGTTATATTTATTTTTACACTATTGATGCTAAAGTGGTTAAACTTAGTTTTTCTGTAAAAATTAGTTTAGTTACAGTTATTTATTACAGTTTTCAACTACACGTTTTAGAGATCGTTCAAATCGGATCAGTTAATTAACATTAACAAAGTTATACCGTATTACACTGTTAAATTGTCTAAAAAACATATATATATATATATATATATATACATATATATATATATATATATATATATATATATATATATATGTGTGTGTGTGTGTGTGTGTGTGTGTGTGTGTGTGTGTGTGTGTGTGTGTATACATATATATATATATATTTTTTTTTTTTTAATCAAATTTATAGTGGTCTTGATTAGTCAGTATGAAAACTGTGTGAGTGAATACACCAGATATTTATGTATAGTATACAAAGAATTATTTTGTTCCCTGTAGAAAAGATAAAGTTGATAATATATCTTACTGGTACTTGTACTGGTAATAGTGTAGTAGTAAATCAATGGTTGTTAAATAGAGAGTTTCGAACCGTACTAACCATGGTGGGAGTGTCAAGATTCATTAATTGAAACCATGAAGAAATATTAACTGATCCTGGTGGGAATTGAACCCACGTTGATCCGAATCATGCATTCGGAGATTCTAAATGTACTCCGCCATTACGACTGTGGCGACCTATCTATGTTTCTCATAATGTGTACATATGATACTAAATCATAATTTTTATCTTTATTCGATTAAACTTGAATCATAAATTATTTTTAAATATAAACACGCTCAAGTCAAGATTCGGTAATACTATCTTATAAGCTAGCTGCTTAAACATTTGGTACAAAACAAGCATGATGAAAAACTATTGCCTTTTCATACCAATGATTTTCAAGGTCCTATATTTTTTGGTGACAGGGTTGAGTGAACTTCACAGTTATTACATCCTTTAAAAGATTTTTATTCCTTTATTTTTCTTATACTAAAAAAAAAAAAAATAGTAAAACATAGAAACTTATTTGTTTCTGAAAATATTCCTCAATTTATCAATTTTATTTATTTTTGTAAAATGAAGTATAATATGTTTGAGAGGATGTTATTTTATGAGTTTGAACGTAGTGTAAGTGTAACAAATATTCCAATTTTGATACCTCATATTCTTTATATTGACTTCAGCTTTAAGTGCAATCTAAGCATTAAAAAAATTAAAACATTACAGTTTCCATCATTAATCATCGGATGTTTTATTTTATAATAGTTGAATAATTGAGTAGTCTACTTCATTACAACCTTTTTTTTCTGTTTTCGTGAGCAACCCGACACGTCCGTTTTTATAGATCTATTTCGTAATCGTTGAGGTGCATGTATACGCAATACTTTGGAACATTCAATAGACCTCAAATATTGGAAAAGATCTGACTATCTAAACTATCTACAGAGAGGAAAGAATGAAGAATATGATAGCAACTGAAGTGTTATTAACTTATTGAATATAAAAGGAAGTTTTCCACACTATACCTTATCAAATGTTTCTACGACATCCAGAAATGTACAAGTTGCTGACATCTTATATTGCAAATACTGTTACTAATAAACTATCTCTCCAAAGTACTGGCAGATTTATGGGGTGCTTTAGGGCTGAAGCCCTCCTCCCAAAAAGTATATATATATTTTTTTTCAGATCCATAATAGGTACGGTGAATGATCTAAATGCTTAAACAATTGCAATATGCGTACTCCTTTTATAGCATAACGTATATACAGTTACTAAATTTAAACACTGTCATGAAAAATGCTTTAAAAATTACTCCTTAAAGCCATTATCGTTCCTACAAATCCAATTTTTTTCTAACAGGCCATGGACTACTTAAATATCATTAATGTAGTTTCTTTATTTTTCTTCGAGAGTAATCACTACTATTTTTGAAAAATACAATAAAAAATGAATTTCCCCAAAATTAAATTCTGGATCCTCTACTACAGTGACGTGACTTGTGAATGTCATAAGCAGAAGACAAAGAACGAATCTTAAATTGATGGATCACTAATATATTTTCAACTATGCTAAAATACCAAAAGGTAAGTGTTTTCTCTGCAATACATTTTCATTTCAAAAATCACCGAAAAGCGAATTTATGTCTTTTTGAGGTTTATTAGAGCATATAGAATAGTACTTTAATTTCTCTGTATTCCAACAATCTGGGGGTGACCACGCATCCCCTCTCCCAACGCGCATATGCACTCCCTCAAGAAATTTCAAACTTATGCTTTACTCAAAACCGATGCATGCGTAACCAAAATTGTAAAAATTGTAGTTTATATATAATTACACACGCTGTTATCTGTTCCATGTTTCTTCTCTTTTGCCCGAGGTTTGAAACCCCCCAAAAAACACAGTTCCCTTCAAAATATCATCCTTTCTCTCTTGAAAATTCAAATCCCCGTAAAAAAATATGTCTCCTCCCCTCAAAAATGTTTCCAACTCATTTTGGGTTTCCCTGCTAACATTTTAGATTTAACCTCGGATTATACTTTTACTATCCGACTGAATTTAACAGAAATTTTGTTTTTGGCTGCAAATGGTTTACCGACGATAAAGATTAAATGTAGACAAGGTTGCGTCGTCATGATCAATACTTGCTTATTGCCCTTCGCATATGTCATTGATCTCGTCTACCAAATTTTATGATAACAAAGACCCCGCCTGAATTCGAAAATAGCCAAAATTACAGTTTTATGCTGAAGTCATGAATAAAAACATTGCTGCGTCTTCTTGTGTATTCTTGCCCGGTAACCTTAATCTGGGAAAGTTTTATAATATACTGAAAAAATCATTAGGTCAAGTTTGTTTGTATATAAGTATATTACTAGATTGTTTTCAATATCTGATGTTGATGCAACCAATGAGATTGCAATGGTCGATTGATCGTTGACTGTGGCAAATAATTGAAGGAATGGTTGGAGTTTTAAGTCAAAATTCAAAACAAAGCGGTACACGAAACAAAATTATAAGTTTTAATAACAAAATTATTACAAAATTATAAGTTGACATTACAATTTTTTTAAGTAATTTGATAAAATGTTAATTATTAATTATTAAAATGTCATAGGACAGTAGCTTCTAAGAATCTTATATTATTTTATTATTATATCCTTATTATTTTGGTTAAAAATAAAACTATTTAAACAATCCAATAAAATAAGATATTTATTTGTTTTATTTCAACTTTCATATTTTTATCTATAATAATAAATATATAATTAAAATCATAAAAGGAAATTAGATGTCATTATAATATAAAATTAGAAACATTAGGAACTTGCCCCTATTACCGATCAATATAGCACCAAAACGTAGTATTGGATTCAATGTGCTATTGATAAATCCCCTATATCTGAAACTTACCTTTTAATCAACAGTTTTTAGTTTTATGGATTTTACTTTTTATTTTTTTTTAAATTAGAGCTGCTCGTGAGGTTTGGACAGTATAGAACGAATCAATATGGCTGGGAGCTGTAACCAAACGAAACAAAAATGCCATGGTTAGAAAAAGGAAGAAGGATGGTAGAAGATGATAGTGGAGACTTACGTAACCTTTGAGCGTCCACCTGAGAAGCAGCCTTGGGCAGTTCACTGATCCAGCACTCCTTCACTTGCGGCTCTACAACTAAGTTGCCCTCGGCAAGATGAGGGCTCAATTCTCTCCCTCTATCAACTTTCCTAGTTATAAACAACAAAATTAAATGATGTTAAAAGTTTATTTATTTTCTATTCACACTTAAGTGTACGCCTTAAGGTCGGTTTAATAAAACCCAAAATTAACTTTTGATAGTTATTTATCGAACCTGTGTCTCCCTCTTCAGCAATCTAAAAAAAAAAATACATAACACAAAAATCAAATTTTCAAATAAATATAAATTATTTTACAAAAATTTGTTAAAACTATCCTATATATTATTTCTAAAAGGTGTTTCTTTTGTCGGTACGCCATAACTTCGTCAATTCGTCATCAAATCCAATGAATGATCATTCGAAGATATCCTTCGCCTATACATGCGAAATAGTCATATCCTCCGAAATTTATAGATAAAAACTTATGAAGGAAAAGAAAATTTATTTGCTATAATAACATGATAATTAGATTACTAAATTACCTACAAAACAAAAATAAAATCGGACAATTATTAACAAAGATATAGTCTATTAGGTAGTCACTAGCGGATCCAGGATTTAATTTTGGAGGGGGCTTCAGCCCGAAAGATTTTTTTTTCATATATATAACGATAATTACTTTCCAAAAAACGAAAGAAACTAACTGTCTATATGAAATGGTGTTTAAGTGATTCCTTAAGTCCTTTTCAATGTAATTACACGAACAATAATACTTTAAGAGATAATTTTTTAATATATTTTTCCATAAAACATGGTTATATTTTACGATTTTGGGGGGAGGCTTTAGCCCGAAAGCCCCCCTCCCACCCACCCTTAGATCCGCCTGTGGTTTTGGAATACTTGATAATGTCTTCCTCTTTAAAGATATTGCATTTAGGTTTAGAATAGTCGACTACACTTATTTTTCTGGCAGATATATTAACTTTATTATTTCTTAAAGACATTTGTTTGTTCTTACATTTTATTTTTTTTAATAATCATAGAAAATTCCATGATCGGTTCATTATTTTGTTTTATTACTTTTATTATCTTTCCAGTGTGCGTTTAAAAATAGGTCCTATCAAAGCAATTTTTACAAATATTTTGGTCTATTATGTTATATGGAACATTGTAATCGACCAAGGAAAAAATATTAACTCCTTCCTCAAATAATAGCTAGGATCTACTTATTTCCATATTGTTTTGCTATTTCTTCACTAAACAAACTAGTAGGTTACTTACATTTTGTTCTTCCAAAAAAAATGGATAAGTCACAATGATATAATAAGTTTGGTACAATGGCTGATTTTCAACAAAAAATGTAAGTAACCTATATTTTTATATCTTGTTATATTTACATGTTAATACCTTGTTATTAATGTCTTTTGATGCATTCTATCTTATTTCTTTATATTATCATATTATTTATTATAAATATATTATAATTAACTGTATTCTTCTAACTCATTATATTCATTCTACTATTTTCATGCAATAATCTAATTTTATGATTGAAATCATTTGATTTCTAGGCTTAAAACACATCCCATTCTATTTCTCGTAGTATTCTAAATGATATAGACCTAAAACACTCAAGTCAAATGGCAGGATGTCAGGGCTGTAGGCAAGGTGATGCAAGATGCTGACATCTTCCATTTCTGCGAATTCAGTCTGGACATGATACGAGTTTTGAGGTATTGGTGATGTTTGGGAGCTTTTGGCTTTTAAGGAATGCTACAATAATCGAATTTATCTGTTACATACAAATTCTGAATGTCTTATGAATAAATCACAACCATTTTTAATCCCTAATTTTTCATACCTAATCAGAAACATCCAATGATTAGATCTTTCTGATTAACCAGAAAGTAGTTTTAAGAATACGTTCTACACCACATGAGCAGGTGGCAATACAAAGATGACATATGGAGGCAGGGATGCCCATCCCCCCAAGATCCAAGGCGCAAGAACCTACCCCCTCATCCCTCTCTCCTCCCAAAATATCCTATTTTGCTCACTTTTTCTTAAAAAAAGAACAAGCTAAGGTAAAATTTGCAAAATCGTGGATCATATACAATTACACTTCCAGCGGCCTGTTCCATGTTTTCCCCTTCTACCTTAGCCCGAAAATTCATAACGCATTCGAAATTCGCCCCCTCAAAAATTTTTATGGCGCGCCATGAAACCTTCTGGGCACCCCTTTGTGAAGGTGGCAAGTCATTATTTTTCTTCCGGCATAGTTATAATGAAATCTAAAGACATCTAGGCGTATACTTTAATGAACAATCAGATGATGCAAAGAATAATATAAGAAATGAAATGAAATGAAAATATTTTTTTATTATCCTGGGACTGTTGTCCCTTTAGGACAAATTACAGTTACAGAATAAATGCCTGTGTTGCCATACATAAAATTAATTATTTACAGTTCTTATTAAGATTTAGATTTTGAAAAAAGAATAAAACAAAAAATAGAACTATTACACTAAAATCAAACGGATATGTATAATACAAACGTGGCAAATAGCATAAGTAAAGAAAATCATTTCTGGAGGAACTTTAAAAGTTTTCTTATCTACATTTCATGATCAATCGGGTTGGGAAAGGAGTAGGTGGTTAAAAAGGAGAGATTTAAATGAGGAAACTGATTGTACATGTCGGATATCGGAAGGGATGGTATTCCAGAAGGAGACGACTTGAATTATAAAGGATTTGTCAAACGCTCCAGTTCGGTGGGGAGGTGGATAGAGGTCGGAGGTACGAGATCTAGTGAGACGGGATTGAATGGAATATTTGAATTGTAGGCTGTGAAAAATATAGGAAGGCTGTTGAGTTCTGATGACTTGGTAAAGAAAGGTAGCAAGGAAGTACAGACGGCGGTTGGATGGATAGAGCCACTTCAACTTGGTGTAATACTGGGTTATATGCGTATCTCCTGAGATTCCGAAAACAAAACGTATTTATCAACACGAAAACACAATATATCTGCAATTATCGAAACAAGTTAGGATTTAATATATGGTTTCAAAATCAATATTTTTTAGCCAACAAGTAATAGAGACCTCGTATTTTTACATCAGAATATTTTATCACAAATTCATTCCTAGTAACAACTAATGGAAATTAACAAAGTTACAATTTTAATATTATATAAAATAAATTTCCTGCTTGAATTTCTAATGACTTTTGAACAAAAGGCGTTTTATAATGCCTTTCGGCAAGGACCTCACAGAGTGGATAGCCATTTCCGTTCTGTGCCCTTTCAGTTCCGCTGGTCTCATAGGTGTGTCGCGGCATCCTTGATATCAAAGACAGGCAATAAGATGTATCATTGATGTGTATCATGTATCATTTCGTTAGTAGGAAGCCATAAAACCAGGCAGTTACATTAATGGACGCATCTAAGCATTTTATGACCTCCCAATTATAATATTCTCTAGATCTCCTACATGATATTTTTCTGTTCCAAAACCTGAAAAAAACGAAAAAGCTTCCTGGATTCCTGATAAAATAATCTGTATCTTTATTCATTTCTTGAACCGGAGATCTCAGTTTGAATATTCTGGAAAACAAAATAATGGAAAGTTATTTGACTTCCATAATTAAAAGAATTATTATTTGTAATTGTGATACTAACAATAACATAGTTTCACTCGTATGTATTGTATTCTATTTTTACATTAATTTTCATATTATTTTAGAAATAGAAATAGAAATAGAAAAATAACTTTATTCTGGGACACAGTCCCTTGAGAATAACAAATTAGAACAAAATTAAAATATTACATCTGGCCAAAACAAAATAAATCGAAAAAAAGAAATAATGTAAAAAAAATATAAGGTAAAAACTCTATATACAAAACAAACTAAACTATATACAAAACCATTAATACTATTACAAGAAACTTAAAGCTATTTAGACCAGTATACACTTTTCCGAAAAAAATAAAGAATTAAAAAATAAAAATATATCAAATTCTCTATTAAAATCCGCTCGAATGGTTAGCAAGTATCTGACTGTTTTTGTGATAGGAATTGGAATAGGAGGGATTTGAATGTGGATATGGAGGGGGAATGTCGAATTTTGATAGGGAGGGAATTCCAGAAATTGACAGAGCGAACAATAAAGGAATTTTGGAATGAGGCAGATCTGTGAGAAGGCATGTAAAGGTCAGAAGGTCGAGATCTTGTGGACAGGGAATGGACTGAGGTTTTGAACTGGAGAAGGTTGTAGGCGTAAGAAGGACGATGGTTGTTGATGATTTGGTAGAGGAACGTACCTAGAAAGTATTGTCTTCGGAAGGAGGGGTAGAGCCACCTTAACTCAGTGTAGTGGTGAGAGACATGGGAGTACCTCGGGGCACCAATAACAAATCTTACGCAGCTATTCATTAATCTTTTCAGTCTATCACGGAGCTCCACCGAGAGGCCATCATACACCACACAGCTGTAGTCAAAGTGGGGGAAGATGAGAGAGGAAATTAGGAGTCTACGGATATGTTGAGGTAGGAGATGGCGGAAGCGATGAAATAGTTTAAGGGTAGAGATTGTCCGACGGGAAATGTGAGAAATATGGTTGGTCCAGGAGAGGGTTTGATCTATGAAAAATCCTAAATTTTTAACAGAGGAGTAGAAGGAAATTGGCTGGTCATTAAGGTGTAATATGGGAAAGTCAGTATGGGATCTAATGAGGGGCTTGGAACCAATGACGATGGCCTGAGTTTTGGCAGCATTTAACTTTAATCCATTTACATTTGCCCAGGCATTGATTCGATCAAGATCTTCTTGAATCTTGGCAAATGCCCCCAGTAACTCAGAGGGAGAAAAGGATAGGTAGATCTGGGAATCATCTGCATAAAGGTGATGGGAACAATGGAAAATTGATTTAGGTAGGTCGTTAATGTCGGAGCTGAAAAGGAGAGGAGATATGCTTGAACCCTGGGCAACTCCAGAGGATAAAGAAAGGAAAGCAGATAGTGGTTGGTTGGGTATGGAGACTGCTTGGGTGCGTTGGGAGAGGAAAGATTGGAACCAAGAGATGGAACTATTGGAGAAAGATAATGATTTTAGTTTGTTGAAGAGGATGGAATGGTTGATGGAATCGAAAGCTTTGGAGAAGTCTAGAAGAATAAGGACAGTTAATTTTCTATCATCTATTGCAGATTGAATGTCGTTGGTAATTTTAATTAAGGCAGATTGTGTGGAATAGCCGGGACGGAAACCAGATTGGAGAGGATCAAATTGGTTTGAATTTTCGAGGAACTTGGAGACTTGGGATTGTACCAGTCTTTCAAGAGGCTTTGAGAGGTTAGAAAGAATTGAAATTGGACGGAAATCTTCGGGTGAGGATGGATTAGGCATTTTATTTAAAGGAAGGACAATGGCTTTTTTCCAAGAGGTAGGGAATACTGAAATCTGAAGGGAGAAATTGTAGATAAAAAGGAGAGCTGGGAGGATTTCAGGTAGACATATTTTTATTAATTTGACAGGAATGCCGTCTGGCCCTATGGAATTGGTGTGGGATTTCATTAATTTTACATTCTTATGTTGTTTTTTTTTATGAAATACATATATGTTTTGAAATTTTAATGGTTTTAACAATTGTGTATAATATTTACAGCAATCTTCTAAATATAATTCTGTGCCCCGGAGGTGTAAAGGTGGCGATGTCCATTTTTCATTAAATAATTTAGTAACTAAAAAAGAAATTTTAATAGCTCAAAGCTATGGAAACATGACTCCCTGAACAAATATAAAAATGTGTCATGGCTTCCTTTACCTCCGGCGTGCAGATTTAGTAAAAAAGGAACAAATTTTATTAACTCAGAGTTATCCAAACATCGCCTCGCTTGAACAAATACAATAATGTACATGCGGTGGTTTACCTCCGGGCACAGGCGGATCTACGGGGGGGGGAGAGCACTTACAAAGGACTTTTGATAAACTAAGCTAAGTTCTGTTTTTAAAAAAATCATAAACTATTCAAACAATTTTTTTTTTTTATCATTATCTAACTATACTAGTATTACTATACTAGTATACTTTTACAAAAACTTCATCGTTTAATAATCTTTAAGTCTGTGTTAATTAAGTTGAGGTTTATTTGGGAAAAACTTGAAATTAAGCTCAAATCGTGTAAAAAAGATGATATTTTTTATCCTGTTAAGTAAAAGGACCCCTGTTTTCAGCAAAAATGGCTATAAGTAATGTTGCAAAGCTTTTATTTCTTGGTTTTTCATGATCTGAGATGTTTTACTTTAGAATTTAGCTTAGTTCAACCTCTCAAAAGTCCTCTGTAAATAGTTTTAACAATTATAAACTCTATGTTCGTTTAAAGCCAATTTTATCTTGTTTACAATAAAGCAATTACTAGTAGGCCCATGTGAAAAATTCGCACAGCATATTGTTATCAAATGTCAAATTAATTAGAAAATAAAATAATGCAACGTATCAAAAGATAAAGAAACCAATTGTTACTTTATCGATAAATATAATCGAAAAAGGAAACAAAAATTCATTTAAATCTTCATTAATGATTTGTACCAACATGTTTACAAATTTCATTAAGCTGTATGTTTTCTAAAAATTGTCCGATTTCGATTGGTTTTTTTTTTTCCTTTTGTAGGAAATTTAGTAATCTTTTATATAATCATGGGCATAATCCATTGTGATTAAACTATTCTGCCCGCCTGAAGGAAAAGGAAGCCTTCGAAATTGATGGCTCAATCTTAAGATTTCGTGAACAATTAACGATAATATGGCTTGCCGATCAAAAACACCATGATAAATGAAACATATATTCAATGACAGCGCTACAACTAACCTAAGGTTATGTGGATGCGAACCCTATGCCTTGCGTTATTTCGAAAATAGTACGTTTTGGGGCTTAAAAAAGCAGGATCCAATAGTTCCGAAGGAAATAATGTTTTTATGACTAATGTTTAGTTTTTGAAAATTGCTTCTTAAGTCAAAATGTCAAAGTTATTAAGTAAAAAAAAAAGTTATTTGTGAAATAAAAGGTAGCACAGACGGATTTACAAGGGAGGGCTTTCTGGCTGAAGCCCCCCTCCCCTCCAAAAAATGGTAAAATATAACCATGTTTTATAGAACAAAATATTAATAACTATCTCTTAAACTCTTATTGTTCGTGTAATTACATTTAATAGGACTTCAAGAATTACTTAAAGACCATTTCGTATAGATATTTAATTTCTTTCTTTCAAATTAATCATTGTTATATATATGAAAAAAAAACTTTTTCGGGTTAAAGCCCTCTCCCCCCCCTCCCAAAATTAAATTCTGAATCCACCAGTGAAAGATTGTGAGATTAAAAGATGTTTTTGTACAAACTTGATCATATAGTGAATACTTAATAGTTGACCGTTGTGTATTTTAGAGGAAGGAGATGGTTGTATCTTGTCCGTCCTAGCCCTCATGAAGACCTGAAAAGTCAGGTCGAAACGTTGGCTTGAAATAAAATAGTTTTTCCAGTATTTTAGTGTATTTATGACCGCCACTCCGCACCATCTCCTTGCTCCAAAATAAACAACGCTCAACTATTAAGTGTTCAATATGACTCAAAAACCACGGGGCCAACAACGGCCAGATATAATGTATCTTGTCCGTTGTAGCCCTGAAGAAGACCTGCAAAGTCGGGTCGAAACGTTGGCTTGAAATAAAATAGTTTTTCCAGTATTTCAGTCTATTTATGACCGCCACCCCGGACCATCTCCTTCATTTTAATCATATATTGATTAAATGTAGTAATTATTAATAGTCTGATAATTTATTCATGACTCTGGTCGCAGAAAATTATCAGAGAAAAAAAATTCCTTCATTAGTCAAAGGCAGAAATAGTATAACGATATAAGAATTAGAGAGTCTAGCTTGCCAAGATTTGCTCTTATGAAACTAATTGCTGTCCAATTCAGAAAAAAAAGAAAAAGAAAAAAAAAGGAGAAGGTTGTGTAGAAAAAAGAACAAAGACGGAGAGGCCTGGCCGTGGGGGAATTGACCGGAGCCCTCCCCACCTCCAGATCCCACTCTCCATGGGAAAATCTCTTTCCTCCGCGACATGCTTCATTTTAGTCAAAGAGTCGGGAGGTGAAAAGTTTTTCCCTTTATGGCACGATGGTACGATATGGAGCGGAAAACCTATTATCTGGACTATAAGAGTAAATAAATTTTCTTCGGATCCAAAGTTTTAATTCACTGTGAAATATTCGAACAATGAAAGTTAATACTTAATAGTCCGTGGTACAGACTCCTTTTTATCGAATTATTAACATCCGCCTGAAACTTCGTAAATAGTTTCATCTCATCGTAACCAACAACTATTTTATTTACGAAAACTCTTGGAATGGGGGCGTTTTCAATCTGAAGAGGGGCAAACTTTGTATATTTAATTAGGTACTTAAAACTCGTAAATACCTATTTGCTTTCTACTTGCACTGTTTGATAATTTGATAACAAAATCAAGAAAAAAGGCGGCCTTCAAAATTATTGAGCCGTTTGGTGTGACCTACACTCCAAATTTTCAAAATAATGATGTTATATAGAGTGAACGGGCCAATATTTTTGTAGACCACCTTTTTTATCGATTTTGTGATAAAATTATCTTAAAATACAAGTAGAAAGCAAATGGGTATTTACGAGTTTTAAGTACCTAATTAAATAGACAAAGTTTGCCCCCCTCCAGATTGAAAACGCCCCAATTCCAAGAGTTTTCGTAAATAAAATAGTTGTAGGTTAAGATAAGATGAAACTATTCTAAACTATTATAAACTGTACCACGGACTAAAAATCGTCAATATATTTTTAAAGATTGTTATGAATTTATAAAAAATATATATTTTATGTTTATGATGCTCAAATACGAACCTGCTAGCAAACACTCCAGAGGTCATTGAAAAAGGATCCTTCATTGAATTTTCTCTCTGACACGAGTTCCCTCTTAGCTATTTTGCATGTCCTGGGTAGTAGAGGTGCAACGCGAAGTTCACTCAAGATATGACTTCTTTCTATAAAAATAAAATTAAGAACTTTTATATCGAATAATTTCATATAATGAATGGATTATAATGGACAGACTATGATGGATTAGATAAAACTGTTTAATTTTTTATCTATTTATTGAAATTTACAACTATTAAATAAACACAACCAGTAAATATGCTCAAAATAGAAATAATGACAGAGTTGTCGAGATACTACTCAGTGGTAGCATTGCCTAAATAATTCTAGATAAAAAGATCACGACACCATCTTCTTTTCAGACCCCTAGGAGGATAATCAGGAATCTAGAAAGTAGCAAGGATGGAAACAAGTGTATTTGGAAGAGACTGGAGTTTATCATAAAGGGAAAGGTATCTCACTTATAGGGTTTGTCAAGTAAGTGTTGGAGCATTCGGAAACGTCGAGCAGTTTCTTGTCGTTTCAGTCTTGTATGCGGATTCCATGTTAGACTTTGTAGTGGAGTCCTAGGTAGCGGATTTTCTCAATAGGAACGAGTAGAATATTATTGAAGGATACTGCAGGACAAGAAGTCATAAGTTTACGACGGAGGATACATGTGATTTGATGGGATTAATTTATTAGGGCTCATTTTTATTCTCCAATTTCGACATTCCTCAAGGCCTGTGATTGGAGAGTTTGGGGTGCAATTAAAGAATCATTATTAACAGATAGCAAACACGCGTCATCAGCATACGTGGTGACGACAGTGTCAGGAAAACACTGGATGTAAGTTTAGAAATGCCTGAAATGAATGGTAATTTATAAAATTCGAGAAATTAAAAAAATTGGAGTAAAATTCCAAAAGGAAATTAAAATTGTACCAAGCTAGTTTATGAAAATAACATATTAAAATATTTTGCTCTCTGGAGAATAATGTTAGTGGATGAAAGAAGTTGTATGTATCAACAGTCAGCGAATAGAAGTACCAATGTCGTCCAATTCCAGCGATGGTATTGGCATCGACCTATGGGTTCGTTATGGATTTATTATTGTTGTTCCATGTTATTATAAATTATCTTACGTTATATTAACTATGCCTCAAATCAGTCAATGAATTAGAAATTGTATATATTAATATGTTATGATGTGATGTATTAATATGTTATGATGATCTGTCTTTATTATGTTATGTATAGTATGTACAGAATGTAATGTATAAAAATTTGATTGTTGGAGAATAAAACCATCCCTTTGTTTGTAGTGAATCCCATGGGAAAAATTCCAAAGGATTATTGAGTACCGAACCCGGGCCTCCTGGACTCGTGGTCAGGTTTTGCAATCACCAAACCACACGTTCAGGAAACGATGGATTTGGATATAATGATGAAGTAATCAGTTTGTTTCTATTTCTGATTTGTGGTATTCGTTTATGCATCTTCTCATATTTGACTAAATTTCGGTATAGAGTCAACATTTTATTTATATTTACTCTATGAGGAAAATGATATTAAGTAAAAGTTAAAGCTGGGGTATGAACTTCGCCTAAAAATGCCTATTCAGTTTAATACTATATTTATTCTCATTACCTTATACATTATATGCTGAACTAGTCTATAATAAGTGCAGAGATAAACTTTAAGGTTACCTTGGCATAGACATAGCCACGTCAGTCATAAGACGTGAATAATAATCAACTTCCTTCCAATTGCCTTGTTTTTTTTTCTCTCACGGCTACTTAATTTTATCTTACCCATTTTGATGCAGTTACCAAATTATAATCTCATTCGTTCAATTTATATAAGAATTACCATTCAAGGTTTTGTGTTTTTAACAAAAAGTATTTTATGATATTTGTTAAACATTGCCATATTTCTTATTTATTGATAATTATTATACTCTAAATTAACATTTTGAGTACTATTTAATTTGAATTATTCGTTAGTATATTGTAATTTCAGTTTTTGTTTTTTCGAGTTATTACTGATAAGCAGATACTAAATTAATTATGTTGATCTATCTTTCTTTCTAATACTTCTGAATGACTGCAAGCTATGAAGGAGTTTTCCTATTGTTAAATCATTTTGTTGATTTTTTATAATCACTTTGCTTTCAGACGAGATAGAAGATCATCGATTTTTTTTTATTTACTTTTCTACGCAATTAAAATGTTTGAAAGTTGGTCAATATTAAGACTGAACAAATATTTTGAAATATAATGAGAACATTTTCCAAATAATATTTTTTATTAATTGGGGTAATAAACATAAGGAAGGGTATCCAGTCATTGTTTTTATGATGGGGACCAAAATTTCAACCAAAGCTTGTGGGTCATAATCAGAAGAAAAATTGTAAAAATTGAGATGTGGTATGTTTGAAGTACAATAACATATGTAAGGAAATAATGCAATAAAAGATAAATAATAAAAATAAATTGAATTGTAAGGATGCAAATAATTACAGAGATACAATTAGTGACATCGCTGACGTAATGAAGGACTATTGCGCCCCAATGCAAGATTTTTCATGACTTGACAATACATTAACGTCATTATGACCGCTACTTACTATAGGCATATTTCACTATACTTTAGGCACTATACTGTCATTTTTCAGAATGAGGAAACCTAACTATATTGGTTCAACCAATTATTTGCAAACTAAAATTGCCTAGTATTAATAACTGTTTTGCATTAAATTTTATTTTCTAAAACGCTTTTTTTTTTACCAATCTTGATCATGGTTGTGCAACAATTAGGAGCTCTTGTTCTACGTCTTGCAAAGTGGAAGACCAAAACAGATTTCGGGCAACATTAGATAGAATTCGGACTATATCAATGTATAATAAGTACTATCCAAATTTGAGTATAAGTGACTGATAAAGGGACTTTTTTTATAGTCCATTTATATATATATATGTATTCTAATGATACTATAACTCACTACATCACTTATGTCATCTGATACGTTCACAATTAATAAAATTTTCAAAATTCGTCATAGTAGCATGGAATTTTTTTGTGGAAATGCTCTCTGGAAAGATATTATTGAAGAAAGACTCTCAAAGTTTGGATATTTAACTCTTCCACATAAACAAACCTAATAATGCTGACTGAAATTTTGGCAGAAGGGTTGGTTCATTTCTGAAAAAATTCAGCCATTTCTTTCCCATTTATATTTATCAAATTCATTGTTCATTATTAAGTGCTCAAATAAGATGTAATTATGCCCTGTAAACATAATACAATTGATTTATCCATGTAATATTTTATTGCTTGGAGAGGCAGTTTATTAAGAAGAACTGCTATATAACTGACTATGGGTCGGAGATAGCATTCCCTGCTATAAGTTGGAAAAATTATGGTTCTCCTTTTGTGAAATATTTGGCTGCCGTTGGCGGCTGACCTTGCCAGCCAACACTGTTTCAAACCCACGCTCCACTGGCCACCACCAACAATTAATACACCGACACCTTCCTCCTTGGCCTTCTTGCTTTGGAAAACGTTCTTGATGTAGCAGTGCCTTGGAACTGTTATAAAAGAACTTGTTCTATCTAATGCTAACGTATTAAGGACTTTTTTGAAGATTCTACCGAACCAAAGAAGAAAAATCAATGATATATCCATAAGAAACTTACTGGTTAATCAATAGTTCAACACTCATTTCTGGGTTGCCAGTAGTGTTGCCCAAATGCGAGACCGGGACGAGTCTTGGTATTGCAAACTCAGTCTTGGTCATGGTCTTGGTCTTGCGCAAGAGTCTCGCAGTTACTTATTAGCTTATTACTATATAGATATTACTGTATTTTTTTAGATAGGAGAAACCTAACTAAGGCCTAATGAAAAATTATAGCAGTTAAATGCAAAAGTATATTGGTTATATCAATTATTAACATGTAGTAACTAAGATTGTTGAGTATTAGTAATTATTTTGCCTTAATTTTTATTTTAAAAATATTTCTTTTTTTACCAGTCCTGGTCTTTGTCTTTCAACAGTTAGGCGGTCTTGGTCTTGGTCTTGCAAAGTGCAAGATCAGGACCGATTTTGAGCAACACTAGTTACCAGCCGTCCTACGTTGGTCACTTGGAGTCCTACATTCGTTATCAGTGCATTTTATATTTTAACGTTATAAATGGAAAAATCCAAACTATAGTCTCTATGGCAAAGGTGAACAGTTACTCTGCCAACGTATGTCTGTTTTGGAGCTAACTGCTTATTTTAGTAATATTATTTGTGGAGTAGCCATGTATCTATTAAGTTTTTTGGATTTATTGTTATTATATACACTTTCGTCCTTATTCTTTTGTATTTATTAATTAGTTCTTTTATTTATTTTATGTTATTAACACATTTTTGTATTATTATATTTTAGGTATGTAAATTTTTGTTTTCCCTTTTATTCCTACTAATCATCTGTCCAATGTAACCTTTTTCTGTTGCGTTAACGGAACATTTTGTTTCCTTCAGTATGTATTTGGATGGTTTGGTAAGATGTCAATGACAAATATTTATTTCCTTTCCTTATATCATGAACATAACTGTTCACCAGTATATTGGAGACCCATGGCTTTCTGATTTTTCCGTTTATAACTTAATCATTGTATGCCTCTTCTCGAGCCGTATGCTTATTTTAGTAATTATTATTTAATATATTTTAATCTTGACTATATTTCATACTCCGATTATTTAGTTTCTGACAATAATTAAACTCGCATAAACAAGCTCTACAGGATCTTTAGAGCGGAATGCTGAAATACTTCTTGAGTTTTATCTGTACCTATGTCAAGTTATGTGTTATCATATTTCCAAAAAGTTGAAAAAAATGGTTTAAATTGTAAAAAAGAAAGATATATTTTAATGGCAATTCAATTGAAGAATAGCTGTGTTATAGAATGAAAATCATATTCTCTCGCTGTTCGACAGCACCACCATTATAGATTTAAATACTTAAAGAGTTTGAACAGCACATAAA